CCTAGCAAATACAAACTAAAGTCATATTCGTTTAAGAAGGAATCTACCTCATCAACAAGGTCATCACACACACACACACACAAACTACCGCATTTGACAAGTAAGGTGAGAAATAGTCCAGGTCAGTGTATCAGGCAGGGCTGGCAAGAGAAGAGAAACCATATCAGTCACTTAAATATAAAAAATTAATATAAAGAGATGTTAACCAAGTACTGGAGGACGGAAAGGGCAAGAAGGCAATTGCTCAGAAGTATCCTACCAAGACCAGGTATCACTCCTAGGGCTGGGGAAACAAAGGAAGAGTGGGATCATTACAATTTAGAAGGTTGGAGAAGGGATCCCCCAGTGGTAGGCCTTTGTGGTGCTGATAACTCTGAAGGAGTGCAATGTTAGTTGTAAGTGTGAGTAAGAATTGTAATGTAAATAAACTGCTGCTACTGGCCAACAGTCCCTGCCAGGGTGAAGGCCAGTGCTGCGTGAGTACAGACCAGGAAAAGGAAGCAAGCTGTTAAGAGGAAGGCCTTTTTCCTCCTTCAGCCTTCCAGGCTCCTTCTAGCACTCCCTATGAGCAGAGCCTAACAGGGAGCAAACTGATGCAAGAGCAAAGTGGTTCACAACGTCCTGCCCCAGTATCATAAGGCATCCCATACAGAAGAGCATGTTTGCAGCCAAGAGACAACAGCCTTTGAGAAAGATCTGGAGCATGATTCAGTGTGTCCCTGTGGCAGTACTGCAAGCTACAGGTCCTTCCTCAAGGGGACCTGAACCCCCACTCCAATTCTGCTTCAATGGGGGGTGGCTTCAGGCCTATCGATTTGCTTGGATCTGGAAACTGGGTAAAAGGTGTGACTCAAATCAGGCTTCTGGCTCCAGACCTGGAGTTTTTCCTTCTATAAAGTTGATGTAGCATTTCGAAGGCCACCTACTTATTTTATTCCTAGGGACACTATAATCCATCAGCCACTGCCAAAGATCCCTTCAGGCCAAAATATTCTCTGCTTTGTCCTCCACTGCCTATTATGAAATACTGTCTATCTTGACTCCTGTGGTTATATGTTGCCCCGGACCTCAAGTCAGGAAGTCCACCCCAATGGCAGCATCTCCCACCACCATAAACAGCCTACAGAGAATAGGCACCAGAGATTTTCAAGGATATGAATTTCTTCTTGGTAATATATTTCTCAGTGCTTTCATGGAAAGTGTATCTTCTGTGTCCTCTTGAAGGATGGAGTAGGGGGATGTATATGTATGTTGTACATAATAAATCCAGGCCAATATTCCTATCTTCCTAAGCCTTCAATTCCTTCCTCATTATGCCAGGAAAAACTCAATCTTATTAAACATAGGCCACCTCTGAATCCAAGTTTCAGGCAACAAATATGTGTGAACACTTTAGATCCAGGATTTCTTGAAAATATATCCAGATTAATAAATTTAATCTGACCTAATGTTACATTCTATCCTCCTCATCCTAACCTATTTACAATCCATTCTTTTATATATTCCCCAAATTCACAATGATACAAATTAGCAAAATCTTAGGGTTCTTTTAGAAGCTAAACTGTTTCCAGCTAGGTCAGATTTTGTCCCTGTCCTACAGAGCATGAAGAGAGCTGGATCTCATGTCAAAAGGTAAAGAGGTAGGTCTTCAGTACAGATTCCTTTTGTAAAACAATTGCTCTAGGGAAGGTTATTACAGGACCTTCAAGCAAGAGAAGGACATGGAAGGCAGGCTGCTTCCATCAACAAGGGATAGTCAGAGCAACTAAAGTTTCAAGAGTCTCAGCTTTGTCCAAGTCTATGTAGATGCTCCCCTTGCAAGTCTTTATGGCTCCACGTTTTTCCAATCAGTCTTAAATAAGACACTGATAAGGCTGTGTAATTCTATTACCAATAGAGTTAAACCTGTATTCAATGTTTTACATGAAACCAAGTGCTTTAGAACCATAGAAACTCTGTTTCTCTAAGACTCGACCTAAGCATTGAGCTTGTCATTTTATTTCTGTAAGTGCTTCAGGGATCTGGGAAGAAGCCTTCCCACCCATCTCTCAGTCCTTGCTGTCATTCTTACTGTCATAATGATCAAGTGCTTTAGCCAAACACTTGCCTTAGAAATTATTTTATCGCAATCAACCAAAGGTAGTAATCTGATTAACTGTGATTCCAGTGGATGCCATGGATTACTAGAATCTTATTTCGAACTGGCAAGTTGCTGAAGAAATGACCCAAACCAGTCCCCAGATCCCATCTTTGAGGGTTTAGCCCCCAAGACCCCATTCTTAGTAGTCATTTCTTTATCAATACCTTTATTGGTCCAGTCAGGAAACCAAAACCATGCCAATTATTTTAACAGAACTAAACATAAAAATTGTTATCCAGACACTCAAGAAATGAAAAGGCAAAAAGAGGGCACTAAATATCAAAGAAGTGGTAACAGCAGAAAACAACTATCACTCCTAGAACAAGGAACAGAGGAAAGAGAATCATTGCAGCTTAGAACTCTGGAGGAAGGACCCTCATGTAGCTGAGACTCAGATCTGAGGGGTGGGGGGGGTGGGTATTGATATTCTTTGAAGGGATCCTAAGAGACAGAAAACTGTAAACTGGAAAACTGGAAAAACTGGGACCAACTGTTAATGCCGGAGTCAGGCATTATTGCTGTGGGGAGACAGACTCGAAAAATAATCAAACAGAAAACACCAAGTCCTTCTGTCCTCCTCCGGCTTTCTGCTCTCCCTCCCCTACTGGCAGAGCTTCATAGGTAGCCAGTTAGCAAAGAAGAAATGTGATTTAGAGGTTCTGCCCCAGACTCACAAAACAGAGTACATAAGGGTGGAATGAAGCTGAGAGACCACAGCTTAATAACCTGTAGTCAAGAGGAAGCAGATAGTAGATGCAGGGTCCCTCACTATTTGAAATGGTTAAAGGATGTATAAAGCATTTTGGTTCTCTGTACAATGCCTGGAAAATAGCAAAAGCTTAATAAATGTGAGCTCTTAGAGCTCACAGAAACTCCCATATGGTTCAACAGAAATGCCATTTCCAGTGCCACGCCTCCTTGCTATTGCTACTGAGATTCCAATAATCAGATGCTCCTGTTCTTTCTCCACTCCCACACAGTGTGAGTAGACAAGGATATATTTTGGGAGGTTAAAAAAAAATGACAAGGGTGAAAAGCATAGTGGATTAAATGGGTTTACCTTCTGCCTGCAATACTACTAGAAAGTTGTTTTTATGAACTCTAGATGGTTTTCATTTCTACTCAACAAATAGGTGGCCTTTGCTTAGGTTAGCAAAGAAACACTAGCAAAAAAATGTATCTACATAGACAAAGCTTATCTACATGAGTATCTGGGCTTATCTAACCCAGATGGAGAGAATGGTTGGGTTAGGCTCAAGAGGACTTGGTAGGCCCAGATCAGGATGGAAGTGACTGGCATTTACATGGTCTTGTGGCCTCAGCAGTGCTTAGCCCAGATGTCCAAAAGTTCTATAATTACCTGGGCTTCCACCCTCGCAAAAGTGATTAGGCAATCATTAAGTTTTCAAACCAAGTCTTAAATCTGGCAGAGTCAGGATCTGTCAGACTCCAAAGTCTGTCTGTCAGACCAGGTCTGTTGGACTCCAAGGTCTGTCTCTTAGCCACTACAAACATGAGGCTCCTGAATGCTCTTCACCCACAGATGCTGCCATCCTATCCATATGGTCTTCAGGCATTTCCCTCTTCCCAATACTAATGATATCTATGGTAGCTAAGTAGTTGGCCTGTGAAGAATTAAAATTTAGGGATATACAATTATCAGCTAGTTGACTATTTTCCTTAGTGGAGGAAAATTACATGTCTCTAAAAAAATAACGATCACATGTAGTCATTAAAAAATCCTTCCTAAACCCAATCAAATCTGATGGGTGAACAATAACACTGTGTAAGATTGGTCTTCCCCACCCACAAACAAAGGAATTTTATGTGCTACTGTTTGTAGGTTGAGGAGCAGTATGCAAATGTTAGAACTTTGTTTAGTTCCTAAAGACAGCATATAGTTTCAGAAACTGACAAGGGCCTTAAAGTAATCAGATATATGTAATCAAAGCATACTTTGAAACTCATTTTATGGGCTATACTCTATTCACTACATGTCTTTTCTGCCCCTCTGCTCATGTTGTATTCTCTGAAATGCCATCTATTCTCTACCACACACATTTAACTCCATTTATTTTTCAAAATACTCATCCTTCAAAATTCAGCTCAATGGATGGACTAGCATGGTTTCAACTAGCTGTATTTATAAAGCTTCTCTAAACATGATACAATGGCATTGCTTCAAGAGAGAAATTTTAGAATCTCTGAGCTCCAAGAATTGCTCAGGGATTACCTAACAGTCTACTCTTCTTGTCTTCAATAGGTAAACTTCTCCTACCCTTTAGATTTCTAAGGTTCATTCCAGCTCTTAAATTATGAGTTTATAGTTCTATCGATGAAATATTACTCCAAAAAGTGAAATGTGTAAAAACCCTTAAATTCTGTAACAGAAACCAGTTATAAATTAAGCTGAAAGATCTGAGGCCAAGTGCTCAGTTCAGGGCAGAAAAACAACAGTCAACTTTGTTTACTGACTGCACCGCAAGTGACTGTCTCTGGGCACACCATAGGTCCCGATCCCAGACGGAAGCTGGCTGGACAAGAACTGTAAACCAACAGCAAGACCAGGCCCTCAGGGGCTGCTTTATCACCTAGAAACAAAGCTGTAAAATACCTCAATCATGTACCACCCCAGATGCCTGTAGCGAACGCGAACCGTACAGGTGATGCACAGCAGTGATGCAGGTGCTGTGTCCACCCTGTTCTCCTCCCAGAGCCTCGGCAACGGCTCCCCGACAGCTCCAGCCGCCCCAGCCCCGCAACTCCCTCCAACCCCGCTCCGAAGGCCCCTGATGTTCGCCGCCGGCCCCACTCCCGGCTGTCCGACCTTCGTTCCTAGCCCCAGCCCTGGGACACTTACCATCCCAATACCAGGCCGGTGGTGACGATGAAGCAGGTAAAGACCACCGCGATGTAGAAAAGCGGCGAGTACTCATAGAGCGTTACTAGAAACACAGCAGCCATCAGGATCTCCTAAACTGATCGGAGTTCAAGCCGCCTGGCCCAATCCAGTCCTCCCGGCCAGGGTGAAAGCCACTACGGTGCCCCGAAGCGGACAAACATTGTATATACGCACTTGCCTAGGCTTAGACGACCCGCAGCCTAGCGGGCGGAAGCCGAAGTGCCAATCACGACGCTGCCCGCAGGCCTCGCCCCGCCCCTCCCCTCCCGTTCTCTACCCAAGCTATTGGCTAGGTGAAGGGGCGGGGCCTTGGCTCGCACCGCCCCGACGCGTGGGGCTGATACCCAGCCAGCTTCTGTTCCGCGCATCTGTCTCGGCGAGCAGTTTCTCCGCTCGTCTGTCTCAGCGGCCCTCGCTTTTCTGCAGCAAATTGTGAATAGATATTGGGGACAACTCCGTCCAAGACTCTGGTAAGGTTTTCTGATGCCAAAGAGAGGAGGCGCAGTCCGAAATCCACGTCAGAGAGTCTAAATCCTGAAACCCTGAGTGTTAGATCGAGATAAATTTGGGAAAAGAGGGCCAGCACCTTGGATTCTACAGAGTGAAAAAAACCCACACCTACTCTTGTTTTATCTAGAAAACTGACAATTATGCACTGTACGAAACACAAAAGTTGTCCCACAAACATTATATACGAGCTTTGTCAGCCTTTTCAAGTTGGATTTAATGATCGAGGAAAATTAACATTGTGTACCAAGATTCTCAGAAATAAATCTGTCCTCCCATATCCCCTTTTGTCTCCTCCCCCTACACAGTCAAATTTGAAATAGATATTTAAACGTAATTTTTGTATTAATTTTCACTTTAATAGGAATTTTAAATATGTATTATGTGTATGTGCATATACACAGAAGAACAGAAGAAGCTTTTATGTACAGACAAGAAAGGAGCAAGATGCTCGCCCCCCTCTCTTCACCCCCATTCAGTCAGCTCCATCAAGGCAGCCTCCCTGAAAGTCTCTCACAACACTTCCACCGACATCTCATTGGTTTGCGTTTAGTCCTAAGGCCACACCAAGCTACCACAGAGACAGCAAAATGAAGTCTTCTGAGCAGGAATATCCCCTGCTACAAATCAGGGTTTTGTTACCGAGGAAGTAGTAGTCCCTCTGTACCCCCAAATCACTAATAAATTAGTGCTGGAGGAAAATGAGCTAAATTTATTCTATGGTTTCAAATATCCCTAGGCAAATGACCAGGTATTGTGTATTGTCTGGAGTAGTGCTGTGTGAGAAGCTTGGTTCAACAATACAATTTTTAATGACTGCATATATGATTTGTGAAAGTATATGGTTTATTTAATCAGCCCTAAATTGTTGGACAATTTCTTCTTCTTATAAACAACACTGCAATGAACATTCTTAAAGCTAAATCATGGTAGACTCATAGACACCAAGAAGGGATTAGTGTTTACCCAGGGGAAGGGGAGGGACTGGAGCAGGTGCAGGGGTGGGGGAGGGATAAAGTGGCACAACAATTCGCAGTCACAATATAAGTTGGTCACGGGGACAGTAGTACAGCATGGAGAGTATAGTCAATGATTCTGTAACATCTTCCTACATTAATAGATAGTGACCGTACTAGTGGGGGTGAGGATTTAATAGTATGGGTAACTGTTGAACCACTGTGTTGTGTAATTGAAACCAACATAAAATTATATGTCAATGATACTTTAATTTTTTAAAAAAGTCCACAGAGGTGGAGAGGGAATAATAAGATAATAAAAGGTGTGCCTAATGCTGAAAGAACTGGGAAAGAACACTTGCCTTCCCAATATGGAGGACTAGATGATCCAGAAATTCTCCTGCCACAAAACCCTTAGATATGCTGGATAAAATACAACAAATATTCTTTTAAATGCAGGCAGTATACAGGAGGGGGATTATTTTATTTTATTTTATACCTATCTGTACTGTTTTAATGTTTTGATCTTGTATATGCATTACTTTTATTTTTACTATATCATGTCTCTTTTAAATTTTGTCATTGTGTTTGTTTTCATTTTGTTTTCATTTTTTGAGTAGATGATACTCAACACATGAATCAAGATTCACAAGCATAAAGGGTCAAACTGTAAAAATTCTCCCTCTCACCCCTATTCTCAGCTTCCCAATTCATTTCCTCTATCCTAGAAATATTTTATGTAACTACAACCAAATATATACATGCACACCTAAGTAATGCTAAAATAAATTTTAGCTTTCTTTATATACTATTTCACATCTTGGTTTTTTCATGTAACAATAGATTTTGAAGATCATATCAGTGCATAAAGAAACCCTGTTTTTTCATACCTGCATACTATTCCATTTATGGACATACCATAATTTATTAAACTAGCCCCCTATTTATGGATATTAAGACTATTCCTAGTCTTCTGCTATTACAAGCAAGGTTGCAATGAATAACCTTGTACACGTGTCATTTCACATCTCTGTGGTATTTCTGTAGGTTTAAATTCCCAAAATTGGAATTTATGGGACAAAAACAAGGTAATTTATAGTTCTGACATATCTTACCAATTGCTATCCATTAAAGATATTCCCATCAATAAAGGGGAAAAAAGCTAAATCATTTCCTAGTAATAAATTCTTAGAGGTGGGACTTTTGGTTCAAAACTATGTACATTTTAAGCTTTTGGAGACACACTGGTTCTCCAGAAATGTGCCAATTTATGTTTCCCACCCTTTCATCCTCCATTTTGCCATCATTTGATATTGTTAGTTAAAAATAATCTTGGCCAATATGAAAGACAATTTTGCTGTAACAAATAGTAAAGAGTTTTCATAATGAAAACTAAAATACAGAGAGTTCCAAGTTAAGTGGTAATAAACATATGCTTATAATTTTGCTCTCCCTAAACTGCACTAAATCTACAGTAAGGGGATTTTAAAAATAAATCAACAAAAAGAAGAAGAACAGAAACTAAAATAACAACAGCAACATATTTAAGGATGAAAAACAGATGAACAGGGATAACTCACTAAGCAGGCTGTGAAAGCCAAATCCCAAATCAGCAGCAAAGAAAACTGATACCCAACCTGAGTTACTCTGCAGAATTCTCTGGAAGAACAGGAACTAACACACAAAGTTCTCAAGACCTTCTTTCCCAATTGGATGTCTGGTACAACCATTGAAACTTGTCACTTTACTTCTAACATAGATTCTTTCTAAATAACATTCTACAGAATTCTGGCAAAAAAAAAAATTTTTTTTAACACATACCTTATTTCACTCTACTGCTGAAAATCCTCAATTACCATGCGGTGTATCCTTGAGGATGAAGTCCCTAGGTCCTTGTTTGACATACCCACTTCTACATCAGCCAACTCCCACTTACCTCTTACTTATTTGTTAAGAGAATCTTTCCTGAGCATCAGGTATGTGCCAGAAACCATAGAAAACATTAGGGATAAGTCAAAAATGCATATCTCTGTTCTCATGGAGTTTCTAATCTAATGGAAAAGACAAACATTCACCAAAATACCTTAAACAAAATGTAATGACAAAGTTATAAGTACTATTAAGTGGAGCTGTGAGAGCATATAATGGGGGAATGGGAAACTATAAGGAAGATCAGAAAAGCTTTCCTGAAGAGCAGAAAACTGAACTGGGAGCTGATGGAGAGAGGCTTACCAGGCAAAGGAACAGGATGGGAGAAAGAGCATTTGGGACAGAAGCTACAGCATGTGCAGAGGATCTGAGATGGGAAAAATCACAACAGACCTGAGAAAATGAAAGGCCTGTGTGACTAAAGCATAGAGAGTAAGGAGGCGTATGCCATGAGGTGAAAATAGAGAGAGAGGTAGGGGACAGACCATACAGAAGTTTTGCCATTTTAACTACTCAACTTTACCCTAAGAGCAATGAGAAACCACTGATACGACTGAAGAAGGAGAGTGTTATGGAATCAATTATGTCTTCCTAAAATTCATGTGCTGGAGCTCCAGCCTCCCATGTGGCTGTAGTTGCAGACAGAGACTTTAAGAAAGTAATTAAGGTTAAGTGAAGTCATAAAGGTGAGACCCTGATCCAGTAGAACTATTGTCCTTATAATAAATAATGATAATAATAATACTTTAAAAAAATGGAAGAGACACCAGAAATCCCTCTCTGGACATATGTGAGCAGAGAAAAGGCTATGTAGGGACACAGCAAGAGGGAAGCTGTCTGCAAACCAAGGAGAGAGTTTCTTCCAGAAAGCCTGGTAGCACCTTGATCTTAGATTTCTAGCCTCCAGAGCTGTGAAAAGATTGATTTCTTTTGTTTTAGCCACCCAGTCTGTGGTATTCTATTATGGCAGCTGAGGCTGATTAACATAGGGAAAGACATTCTGTTTGCAGTCACTTTGGCTATTGTGTAGAAGACTCATCGGAAGGAGGCTGGGATGGAGATGAATGAATATGGAGTGACTATTAATTGATATCAGTTAATAGATTCTTTCAAAAGCCCGGGCAAGAAATATTGGTATGTCTGGTTCGGATTGTGATGAGGACTAGCAGTGAAGTAGATTATTAGAAACGATTTCAGCTGTAACAAAAAAGTAATAGTATCATACTTGAGATAAAAGTGTATTTATCTTTCAGGTGAGAGTCTAGATGTAGATAATGCAGGACTGATAGAGTGTTCCACAGTACAAAGGATCCAGGCTTTTATTTTCTCCAACATCTGTAGCCCACATTCTTAAGATTCCCTCATGGCCCAAGATGCCTGCTGCAGCTCCAGCCACCATGTCCATATTCCTGCTAGTAGGAGGGAGAAGAGAGGGAGAATGAGACACCAGTTCAATCTAAGGAAACTCTAACAATACACCACACATTCCATTGGCCACAACCCAGCCTTATGCCCACATTTAACTGGAAGAGAGGCTGGAAAATGCATCTTTATACATGGCAACTATGGGTTCAGCTAACACAAGAGGGTTATATTTCTTATAAAAGAAGGAAACAGAGTTTGAAGGAGAACTAGGGGTCTGTGCCACATGAGAAATATACAAGATAAAATGATGTATTGAACATAGGGCATGAAAGAGAGGCAGGAGTTGAAGTTTCTGGTTTCTTCCTCTAAATGAATGGATGAAGTCATCTGCTGAGATTAGATTCTAAATCTCCATTCTCTGGTTGCTCATC